CAAAGTCACAGTATACTCTTAAAAAAGGGTTCTTTAGTAAAGAAAGTAGTTCTATATAGAACCATGAACACTCAAAGGACCTGTTAGCATGATTAAAAGGTTCTTTGCGTCATGAAAGGTTTCTTCAGAATGTCACTTTATCATTACTCTGAACATGTTTGTAAAAAAAAATATATATATATGGTGCATTTAACCAAAAAATGAAGCATCACATATTTTATATAGTTGTATGAACATGATAACACTCAGAAAACTATGGTTTTACATGCTGAAATTGTTACATCTTTATACAGTTGTAACTCATCTGGTGACAGATTTCAATGAGCATTTGAACTGATTTGCATATTATGTGCCATACAGCACTTAGATTTCAATTTGATGAAATAGAGATGCATCTGACCATCAAGTGTAAATGCATATGAATCAGGTTTCAATCCAGATACAAGTCACCTGAAATGACCAGGTGTAAACAAGGTCAGAGAGGACTTATGAACATCTGAATTCTGTTCAAGAGGGCCTACAGCCAGTTTTGATGGTCTTCGCTTTCAACAAAGCTAGTATTTAGACAAGAGATCATGATCCAAGGTACTGATTAAAGCCAATGACCCCATAAGAACAGGAACTACACAGGGTGCCTTCCTTCTAAGCAGTTTTTTTCTATCACACAAACGTCATCCTCTCTTGGGTGTTAACACAATAAGCACAGCCTTGTTTAAACAGCGCTCTTGATTTAACATAGTTAAATTTAGCCTTCTAAAGCTCGCTCCTCCAATCTGTGGTGCACATACTATATGAATGTGGCACTTTAATCCAAACACTTAGCAGGGGTTCCTGGCCTGATTTCTATGCTTCAACCTGACGCAAAGAACAGCTTATTCCGCGTACAAGAAATTACATGAAATAAAACGAGGCAATGCAGGCAATAGAAAGACAGAACAGGGGACACTGCAGTCATGGTGAAGGAAATTGAAGAAAATGTCCCAATATAAGGAAACAAAATTAGAGGTGCAATGCAGCAGTCGCTTCTGTAAGAACCTCTGAATTTTACTGCAGACATCATTGTCGGACTGTAATTTGAAAAGATCAAGGCATCTGTATTTACCTGTCTGAAATTCATGCGTCGTCCTATTATGTTGCATATTTTATACAACAAATAAGGACTCGTGCCATAAACTGGAAAGTCTCTCATGGCAATTTGAGGCAGCCCACGACGGGCAAAGTAGGGCAGCGTTTATGGGCATTAAAGTAGCCTTTTATTCTGTGCTTCACCAAATATTCTTCCAGTGCTTAATAACATGTGTGCTTTGCGGACGTCCACATTTACAGCTCCAACAAAAAGGCAGCGTAACATGAATAGGACTTGTTTTGGTGAACGAAGGTCCCCAGACAAAAAGGCCGAGGTACAGTTAAGTGCTGAGATAACGATAACGTTTGAGACCGTTTGCCAGACACAACTCTGAAAATGCAGGCTTTCAGATGAAACACTGTTTGGCACTTCTTCAAAATCTGCCTCTGTCATGTTTCTTCTGTAACAAAGAAAGCTTTGCAATCCTAGACTGAGAGATTTGAACTCAGTTGTCTGCGCAATAATAGAAACGACACATCCAGGATGACTAACTGGGAATGATTTTGAGTGTTGAAAATGCTCATTATTCATCTAGTAAGACTGAATAAATCATTGGCAAGTACTGAGGTCATAGCTAGTGCAAATTGTTAAGGTTGTATGTAACACTCCAGCAAACCTATAGTAGCTTGGTTTTTAAGGGCAGGATTGAACAAACCAACAAAAGTATGTACAGGGACTGAAAATTTGAAAGGTTTTGTCTGATCAGAATCACAATAAGGTTCATGAAAGCACACAAACAAAAAGAAAAACACAGATGTTAAAACACTGAAGGTTTTGATTATCTATCAGTGAGGGTTCAGTAAAAGCATCATAGTCTTATGATCGTCTGAACGTTTGAAATGATCAACTGTTTTCGTGAAGCCCACGTGTTTCCAGTTTTGTACAATTCCTTTGGAGACAGAGCTGTAGGTAAAGAATCTACTTTACATATGACTCTGAATAAAAAAGAGGGTTTCGAGACTTCAGACGTGGGCAGGCCAGGTAGAACTGTTGAACAATTCCTAATTTCCTCATTAAAATCAATCAACCCAGTCAACTTCAAGCAGGCAGGAAGGACAAATTTCATTTGGCAAGGGGAGGCAGCAGATTAGAATTGCATGGTTTTGGTCCTTTGGGAATCCTCAAGGGAGCTTTCATGTTAAAGGATAAAAGCGAGGTTTGATATGCTGGCATCAAAGTTTAGAGGTCAGGGTTGGTTGTTGACATCCATAATTTCCTGCCCACTGCATTGTCTGGTCCATTGAAGCTTTGGGCCTACCCATGCCCAAGGACAATAAGGGAGAAGTGGATTTAGCAGGTTAACCCCTTAAATTGCCAGGACCTGCTAAACTTTTATTACCCACTGCTATAACCTAGTAATAACTGAGCCTGTTTGCATTGTAGTTCTTGTAGTTACTGAATAATAAGAATGTAATAAGGCTGGGATTTTAAGGGGTTAATGTTCATTCCAGATTCAATAGTGTTATAGGTTTCTGATTGTACATTTTTTACCACTGTGCTGCTGAAAACATCTTGGGGAGCAGAAACATTTTAAATGTAGGCAATATCTAATATTTTTACAATTAAATTATTGTTAGATTACTATAAGTTTATCCAGTCTGTTCTAAATTATCAATATCTAGGCTTTAATTTACTGACTCTAAGTAATCCTATTGAATATTACCATCTGGCATTATCTTCAAATAGGCAAAATGATCTGCCACCAATTAAAACAATCTAACAATAATGTCGTTATAAGAAATATTAGATTTATTGCCTACAGTTAAGACGTTTTCACTTACCAAAATGTCCCTCAAGATGTTATTTTTTTTTACAGTGAACAGCTAAACTGATGGATATACAGTGGAAAATTCACAAGATGCCTAAAAAAAAACTCCTAAAAATAAACAGTTTCCTTTAAAATGAAAAGATAACCAGGGTTGGTTGGCAGCATTGCAGGTAAATAGAAAACTGTGACTGTTTAAAGGAGTACAATCATGAACATAAACCCTAAATATTTGATTAATGAGCATGTTCTCTACATTGAACTTCACGATAATTGACAACATTTTCCCCTTTGAGTGCAATACAGGCTTGGGAGAGGGTGACTGACCGTCGTTCAGACCGTGGTAAAGTCCTTCCCCAGGTTTATGGTAATAGATGGTATTAGAGAGAGCATATTAATAGTGTTGCATTTACATTGGATTACGGCAAAGCTTAATGACTAAAAGCTTTCAGCTGTTAATGCTGTGAGTGCATTTGTTTTTTTTTTTGTTTGTTTTTGCCTTTGCCATAAAAGTTCTGGATACATCTGCAAAAAAGAGAAAAAAAAAAAAAAAGACACATCTGTCGGTAACCTCAAGCGCTCCGCTAAGTTTGCGATGGCTTTAGCGGGCCTCCCCAGATCGGCTTGGTGTTATTTCTAATGGATTTGTTTCTTACTTAGAAAAAAAAAATGTCACCGCACTCGTTACCTCTTGAATACCAAGTCTGTTCGTTTGGCAGTTTCTGTAGCTATCGACTCCCTCGTCCTCTTCCTTTCGTCCCTTACTTCATTAAGTCCACTCTCTGAGGATTACTTCTTCTTTTTTTTTCTCCACTGCAGTAGCAACCATGAGATAAGTGTCTAGATAGCACACTCCCTGTCATAGTACAAAAAAAAACCTAAAGAAAAGAAAAGAAGAGAGTACACACCATATCCAGTAGCTTGGTCTTTACAGTGGATTGTCGCTTGAACAAAAAGGCTTATGGAAAGCCTGCACCCTGTCAAGTACAGACTTTAGACGCTCCTTTTACGTTGGCTTTCTCTTTTTTTTTTTCCTCTTCCAAACAATTCCATAGTGGCTGTCAGATGGCGTGGTGAAGAGATCGCGATGAGCTGTATTATCCGTTGGTTAAATATGTTCTGGAGAGAGGCTCGGTGCCCATCAGGACAGACACTGGATTTTTTTTTTTTAGATTTTTTGTTGTTTTTATCTTCTTTTCATGTTCCGTTTTTGTACATTTTCCTCCTTTCTTTACAAGTTCAAGTATTTTCTTCTTGTTTAAAATAAAATAAAAAAAAACAGCAAAAATTAGCAAATCTACTGCTATAATCTAATCTACATGTCTACTCTACCGCCCGGCACCAAAAACAGCTGCCGAACTGTCAGCCCCCACCGCATTTTTTTTTTCTGATTTTTTTTCACTCTCTCTCTCTTTCACTCTCTCTCTTTTTTACTTTTTTCTTTTTTTTCTGTAGAATCAATATTTCCTTTAACTTTAACCTCACATAGGCCACTAGATACTGACTTAATTATTTCTTTCATCTACTACTATTTGTACTTTGTAATACTTGCAGCTACAAGGTAAGAGTTATTGTTTTTTTTTAAATATATATGTATATATTTATATATTTATATATTTATATTCTTTTAAAAAGCGTGTAGTCCTTTGGTCCCTATTTCCTAAGGAATGATGCATGTAAATAATCCTGGATTACCGTTCACTTTTCCATCTCCCCAGAGCTTTCTGGCACAGACCACAACACCTGTTTAGGCACAAAAACCAAAATGGCAGCAGGCTGGTGTGTATGTGTTTGTGTGTTTGTATATGTATGCGTTTGTAAATAGAGATATCAGTATTTACATGAGGACTTCAAAATATGCTTGTTTCTGAAGTGCATTTTGTTTTATGCATGTCTGCCTAAGTGCAAAGGGTTTGTGTATGCGAGTCTACATGTGTGATTGTATATCTGTGTATGCATGCTTTGAGCATAATGTGTCTATAAAGATTTTTTTTTTCCCCCATCTTGTCTAAAAAACAGCAGCAAAAAAGTTGGTCTCTGCAAAATTTGCTTCCACAGATGCCAAAGCAACAAAAGAAAGAAAAAAGAGAGAGGAAAAAAAAAGAAACATTTAGCCAAGAAAGAAATCCTCCTTGTTCCTTTAGTCACCCAGTCAAACATCTCTCGGCGATTTTCCCGCAGAATCAAGGGACCACTCTTCTTTCATGATATGTGGCAGAGCGAAGAAGTCTTTTGTACTTATACTGCACTTGTGGAAATAAGGTGTTGTAGTCCTTCATCCTGTGAGAACAAGAAGTAGAGAAAGGGGGAAGAGGTAGAGAAAACAGGGGGAAAAGAAGAAAAGAAAATGTTTTTTTTTCTGCACACAGACGCTTAAGTGAGAGTTTTCCAGCTTTGCACACCAACAGTTACAGCCAACATCAAGAAAAAACACCCACAGAACACAAACTGAAAGGAGTTACTTATAGCTACGCATTGTGTTCTTAAGGGACAGACACTCGTGTATCTGTGCTTGTCAAACACTTCATGATAAAGCGCCTGAGTCTGATCTCACATCAGTCAGCCTAGTGCTGTAGAAAAGTAGTCACCATGACAGCAGAGGGGAGAGAGACACGTGCAGGACCAAACAGACGAACACGCTGTGAAGACAATCTGATGGCAGATGACTGAAGTATAATTACATGAACAGATTTGACACTTTATTACAGGCTGACAATAAGCTGTTACTGAAGCTTCAGAACATCGGTGTATTGCTTTTGTGTTGTGCCTACAATATATGTGAAATTCAACTTTAAATAATACAATAAAATATCTTGTTTCATATATTAGCAAGTAAAATTCAGCAACTGGAAATATGAAATAAATAGTTTTATATGCATAAGTCCTGTGCAAAAGTCAGAAAACAAGCATCATTAATTTGATTTCCAGACAAAATGGCCTTTAACTATATCATTAATTTTTTCAAATGTTCTAGTATTTAGTGTGTCCATGCTTTGCCTTTGAAACTTGCTATCATTTTTTTAAAGAAATCTGCAGAGATATTTTCCCACACCATCAAAATTTCTGCTTCTCACATTCCAAATAATCCCAAACATATTCACTAAGGTCTGGACTCTGGGTTGGTCAGTCCATTGTTCTGAGAACATCATCAGCTTTTCACTTTTTTCTCAGTAAGGGCTTCTTGACAGCTACACATCCTTTCAGACTCATAGTGTTAGTCTTCTCACAGTGGAAGGATGGACAGAAACACCTGTGAATTTTTCAGATCTGAAGCAAGAGTGGAGCTTGAGTTCCTCCTCTATCTCAAAGATGAAAGCTTCAAGTGCTGTTTATCTGATGGTAACAGTTTTGGTGGTCTATCAGGTCTTGTATGGTTGTGGTCCCATTTTCTCTGTATCTTTGATTTTTTTTTTAACTCCAGTTATGGGAAAATCTGTTTTTTCACTTATATTCTTTCCCCAGTGCAACTGAATTATTATATCTCCCCAGACATATCTTGTGAAAAATGAATACACTTTTTACTTTTGATTTTGACTGTAGATAAATAAATGAAAGGTGGTCTCTGACTTTTGCACAGTGCTGTTTAGCCTATTTAAAACTGAATAAAGCCAAATCATTGCATATTTAATACATAGTAAAATCCAACTATTTAAGTTTGTGTCTTCGGTTTGTGTGTGTGTATATATATATGTATATATATATATATATATATATATATATATATATACATGTGTGTGTGTGTGTGTGTGTGTGTGTGTGTGTGGAGTTAGGATCATTAAATTGTAAAGTCTAGTAAGTTAATGTTATGGTTTTGCCATAATTTGACGGATCAGCAAGAAAAGTTAAATATAGTGGCTGTCATAACAAAACCACATATCTGTTGTATCTTGATACGACTGTCTTTGCGCAGTTGTACTTTGTACAGTTTTCATAGCAGGGGATTCTCTACCTTCCGCTTTCACCCCTCATTGCTTGCTAGCAGCTCAGCAGAGTTACAACATCTCACACACAGACAGCCAACAGTGTTCTAGTTCTCTGAAGAAAGAGACCACAGGAGAAGGAAAAAATGTTCTTAACTTTAATCCATGTGAATATAACAAAAATGTACTGAAGAATTTCTGTTGCTCCTTTCATCATGGAATGTATATATAAGTATATATAACGTACAGAGCAGCTGACACTTTCAGTTACATATATATATATATATATATATATATATATATATATATACACACACACACAAACGAAGTTATGAGGTTTTGATATGACAGCAACAACATGTATTACTGCTAATAGTTGACTGTATGTCAGGAAACCATAAGAAATGCACACAGACATTCAGTTTGGTGTGTATGACATATGGGCAGATCTTGGTTCATAACAGAGAAACACACAAAACCCTTGTCTCCACTCCAGTAATATGTACCATATTCCTTAGTCTAGCTCTCTTTCTCTGGCCAGTATTCTTGTTAAAATGTGATAATCAAGCAGACAGAAACATGGCTAGCTTGTGTTCTGCTTTCAGGGAGAAACAGAGGCATTAAAATCAGGGCTTTGTGTGAAAAGATCTGATTATAGATGTTCTAGCTCTACCAAGCAGAAGTAATTCAAAGGCAGGGGGGATCTACCACATAAATGCACAGCACAAACACAGCTGCTCTATAAATAACTCCAATGCCACTCTTTTCTCAAACTCCTGATACAAAAGACTAAAGCAGCTTAGCAGCTACTCTGCTGTTCGTTCCTTATCAATATCTTATCTGGTGCATTATTGTGGGATGTGATTTGGAAAGTCAAAAGCACACAGGAAAATAAATGAATAATTAAATAAGTAAGTAAATAAATAAATGAATGAATAAATTTCCTGGAAAATAATACTAATGAGCCAACTGAAGGAAACTTGTCTCATTTCTTAGTTTCCAGTTCTTAGTAATACCCTCTAAAGTATTATTTTGGTAAAATTTTCATTTTTTTATTTCTTAATTGATAAGACAGTGTTACAATGTAATGTGACAAAGAAAGGGAAAAAACTCAAAATTAATTTGTAGTTCATTGTACATTCATAATCATTCAGTACACAATATATATTAATAAATAATATTTTATTTTTTAATACATTTTGTAAAATATCACTTTAAATAATGCAGAGCCTAAGAATATTATTTATTCTTATTGTACTATAATGTTAGGCCAACTTAGTCTTAGGACAACTGAATATAACCCAAACAACATGCATCCATTTTTATTATTGAATGAAAACATAGTAATAATAACTGATCTGCCCTCAGTGAATGTTTGAAATTTGGAACCAATTAACATCAACAAACAAATAATTCCCAGGTAAGCCATCATGAAAAGGATCCAATACATCCTCAGATGGCAGGGAACAGATTTTGTTTAAACATATACAGAAAAGACTGTTTTATTCTTATTGGAGGTTTTGTTGATATTCAATAATGATAGGAAAAAACCTCAGACAGAGTCATTGCACTCGGCTGGTTTCGAGAGCAATTTCCGAATCCATCTTACCCCAGGAACGAGACGAGCCCGAGACAAAATGATGTTGAGACAGACAAGACCTAGACTGTTGATTTAGAGAGCGGACTTGAGTACTACAACACTAGCTCTTTTATAACGTCATGCAAAGAACCCTTTTTGGCACCTTTATTTTTAAGAGAGCAGTCATCAGATGTTACTTAGCTGGATATCATTAGTTTGCAGTGAACGTTTTAAAAGAAAAGTGTCTCATTGAGCTGTTTTATAAGGTTTCATTTTGGTTAAGATGTCTAGACAACACTCCTATCTACACAGTTAAATAGAGCAGAGAAGGTATTTTGGAGAAGCAGGTCAAATGTAGCTTTCATAGTTCCTGCTGTAGTGAGATTAGTAATGACATCCAGATTCAATACATTTAAAATTGGTGCACACAAGAAAAAGGTAGCAAATCCAACCTTATCCCATCTTTATTGCTATTTTATTTTAAAGAAGAACACTTTGGCTTATATTTGAAACATGTCTCATATTCCCCAAAAGGAAGGCTGGATATAGTTGCAGTATTTTAGAAGCACTGCATTGTGTCCAGGTGATACTGTCCTAATTTGAGTATGTCATCTTTTTTTCCTGTTAAAGCAGCATGAGTGCAAAATGTACTGAATGGCAGCATGAATGTATCAAGACTATTATATCATCATTAGTTAGTAATCAGCATGATGGGTTTGCTGATTCTATGCTAAATCTTAATGCACTGCATTATATTTCATTATGTTACTGTGATAGTTCTGAATTATAACACTATCTATAATTCACAGTGAGCTGAATAAGTAGGGCTTTGTTAGCAGGGGGGAAAAAAATAGGTAGCAGCAGAAGCCAAATCATTTATCGTATTTCTTTTTCTCATTATTATGTGCATGTCTGGGAGTGGTTGATGAAGTCACCATGTGTGGGTCCACAGCAGCGCCTGCAGCTCTGCAATCACTCTGTAATTGGTTAGCAACCTCATAAATAAGTAAACAGGAACCAATCCCCATGTTGGGCAAACAAAACAATTACAGGAAAGTGCTCCAAATGTAGATACAATGGAAAACAGCACGGAGAGGAGAGGAGACCAGAGTCAACATTTGCCTTTGCGCCACGACTTGGGAGAGGGGGGTTGTTTAATTGGAATTACAAACATGGTGTCATCGTAAATATTCCTCAGTCAGTGACTGAAAAGTAGACCTCAGCTGCCTAATAGATGTACATACAGAGGAAAAAAAGCAGATCAGATCAAACAGAAAAAAACGTAGAGATTCACAGCTCATGTTGAGAAAAAAGCGAGAGATAGAGAGAGCAAAATATCCATACATTCTCAAGTTCACACGCAAAATAACAAGAGCACACGACTCACATTACGACAGCAAAAAAGGGGTCAAAGTTCACATCCCATGGAAAATCAACCAATCAGCAGATTTACAAACAACAGCTACCAGCTACCAAAAGTGCAAACAAAATACTGCACTCCATAAATACAAAATCCAAAAAACATGGCCACAATAGAGAGATATAGAGAAAAAGAGAGTAACAAATCAACAGCACGTCATGCCACTCAACCACAGCAGTACACATGACGTCATCCAAAAGAAAATGACACCATGGTTTGAACTTACAGCCGTGGGTAACTGTTGCCCCCCCTGAGCGTAGACATGAAGCTCATGTAGCTAGGCAACAGGGCAGCCAGTCTTGAGCTATGATTGGCCCTGCCTGGGTTTCAGGTTGGTTAGGTGCAAAAGAAGAAAAACAAATCGGAAAAATGGAATTTCTTTTCCTTCACTTGGAACTGTTATGAGCATTACCGAAGCACTTAACGAAATCTGTTCAAATCATTTAAAACATATATATATATTTTTTTTAACTGTCAAAAGACTCCATGAAGAAACTGAAAACAATGCAAACGGAAATGAGAGCAAGTTCTAAATTCATCAGCAAGTTAGTACTAAATGTGTTGTTTTTACCGCAAAAATCTATCACACAGAAAGCACACAAACACACACTCAGTGAGACGAGAGGGAGCTAGACTGCAGTGAGAGCATGACATGAACACTTACATTCAGAGACATTTTCTTAGACAATGAGTTTCCTGAAAAGAGGCTACAAGTACACAGGACAGAAGTGTCTGCATGAAGAAAGTCAGGCCTAACACACACACACACACACACACACATACACACACACGCACAAACCCTCCTGCTGACACCAGTGAGAAGTCTGTTTTGAGTTCGAGTTGTGGGTTGCCAGATCCTCACTGTGTGGGCCATTGTAATGCTTAAACCTCCCAGTGCTCTAATTTGAGGACATCTGTCTATCATGTGCTCTGTGGAAAATTTCTCTCTTCAGGGAGCCTGGACTGCAACTGCTTTCATAATGTTTTTAAATGTCTCAGTGCCGTAGCTTTGGTCACTCATTTTTTTTCTTTTTTACTTTCATTTTTTTTCTTATATATTAAAAACGCAATCTCATCTATCTTCCAAAAACATCCATCACATTTTGTATTGTTTTCAATATTGCATGCTTTGTGTTGACAGGAATGCTTACAGCAGAAACATGAGTTATGCTTTCAAAAAGACCAGCTTAAATATCTAAGCCTTTGTGAACATGATGTACAGGTTTAGGCATCTAAACCTGAATTAGTTTTATCTGTGGAGATACAGTAATTTAAGTGATTACCAATTAAATCTGTGATTTATTCCAGTGTAAATCTGCAATGTATGTAGTTTTTACAATCTGACAGTAACAATCATGGAATTATTTTAATACTGTATGAATCTGCAGTTTGTGTAGTTTTTAAAGTCTGACACTTAAAATTGAGGAGTGATTTTATCCAGTATGAATCTGCAGTGAGTGTAGTTTTTATGGTCTAACAGAAATAATTGTAGAGTGATTGTAATCCAGTATGAATATACAGTTTGTGCAGTTTTTACTGTATAATGGTAATAATTGTGGAATGATTTTAATCCAGTATGAATCTGCTTTGTGTGTAGATTATACAGTTTGATAGTCATGGTCCTCTGTAATTGGCTGAATGCTTCCTCAGTAATAGTAGTCCAAACCATCTCATACTTATGGAATAAAAACTCCTGCTAATAGTAATGGCTGAGTGTTGTGTTGTTATTGTTATTGAGTGTGGTGCCTATCACGTCTAGGCTATGACCTCCAGCGATCTGTGGTGATTTGAGGAAATAAATTACACAGATACTTTATCCTGTATAAATGTACTTAACATACTGCATTACAGACATGTCCTCAGGTAAAACTATTCTAGCTCAAATATTGCTGAAGCACAACTTGCGGGTGTGAGCAGTGTGAGTGATGGTTCTAACCTGGATGTGGATGTTGGTGGATCAGTAAGGGCGGTTGGCATCTTTCGGCCGCTTCAGCTGGACCTTGAGCCTTTTCATGCCGATCTGAAAACCATTCATGGCCTGAATGGCAGCCTGAGCACTAGATGGGTTATCAAAGCTCACAAAGCCTGGAGAGAGAGAGAAAGAGAGAGAAAGAGAGAGAGAGAGAGAGAGAGAGAGAGAGAGAGAGAGAGAGAGAGAGGGAGGTCACAGGCATGAATTGAATGGATTTGAATGAAGAAATGTCCGGGCACCAATGCCAAAAGAGTATGAGAAATAGCAAAGCAATGGTCAAAGGTAATGTACTGGTGATACTTTTTATTACAAAAATCAAGCTAGTGTTTATATATGGACAATAAGAATAAGAATAAAACAGCAAACAGTGTGACAGACTGTTGTTGTCTTTTTCCCTTTTTCCACAGTTTTAAAAATGAAGATGCCTAATGGAACCAAAAAGGGTTTTTAGGACAATCGTGGTATAGAAGAACCACTTTTGTATCCATAAAGAACCACTCAATGGATGATACTTTAAAGAACCATTTTTGTAAAAAGGAGGGAGAAAAAAGTCTGCACATCTGACCATCACATCTGTATGAGCTTGTTGGACATCTCATTTCAAAACCATGGGCGTTAATATGGAGTTGGCCTCCACCCTGCAGCTAGAACCACCACAACTCTTCTGGAAAGACTTTCCCATTCAGTCAAAACAGCACTTGTGAGGTCAGCCACTGATGTTGAATGAGAATGTCTGGCTCACAACTGATGCTCCAATTCAACTGAAATGTTCAGTGGAGTTGAGGCAAGGGGGCACAGTCATGCTGGAAGAGGAAAGGGCCTTCCTCAAAGTCGGAAGCATAACATTATCCAAAATGTCTTTGTACACTGTCAGAAAAAAAGGTACTGCACTGTCATTTGTGTGGTAGCCCACTTGTCCTTGGGGTGGTACCCTCAAGGGTATGTTTTCAGTACCTTTAGTTAAGGAATATAATTTTACCATATCCCATTCCCCTAAATTAGTGAAGCATGATTTATCATTTTTTACTTTTATGGTGCCAGCTTGGTGTGCAGGTTCCCTTGGTTTCAGAATATCTTTTCTTGAACCAGGGCACTCATCCAACATGTTTAGTCTAGCTCACTCTTCATAGCAAATGGGTGCCTAAGACCAACACTAAATCATTTCAAACAAGGCTAGTAACTGAGGGATAAATGGCAGTGTGTTAGCGTGCGGGTCAGTGGTTTGGACCCTTTGGGCCACCATACTCGCTCTGTTCCTGTTAACATTCCTGTTACAGGTGCGCTGAGTTATCACTCGTGTGTCGAAGCGGAATGATCTCGCGGCTCTCCTGCCCTTTCCTTATCGTCCACCTCTCTGATTGACGGGCCAAATTTTCCGCCTGCCAGCTGATTCAATCACCTGGCTACAGCTCCAATTTAATTTGGGGGGAGAGGCCATGCTTTTGTCATGGCGGCCAGAGATAAGACCACAGCTTTTACAAACCCTTTAAACAAGCCGAGTCTGTCAGACAACTTCTATGCCCTCCATACCTGCCTTCATAAATCTGCCTCTGCTTCCAGTGAATGTTACGGTGGGTAAAGAGAATGAGGTGCAGGGAAAGGAGGGAAAGAGGAGCTGACAGATTGGAAGGGCAGTAAATCGTACAGCTCTTGAGCTATGTAAATCAGTCAGCGCTGGGCTGTTTTATAGGATGCCATGTGCTTTACAAGGGCTACTCACTTCAGGGCGAGACATTAAAGAGTCTTTCATGGTGTGGCCGAAGGTGAAATGGCCCAGGACGGCTTTTGCAGTCGGGCTTCTATCTATTTTCATGTTATATCTATATTTCATGAACTGCTAGTGACAAAGCAATCACTGCGAGGCCCTGGAAATTTCACAGTCTCTTAAGCCACAGAGATATTTAAAAATAAAACATATAAATCCAAAAGCCAGTGGAGGATTTTCCTTATGCAGCATTCAAATAAATATAAAAGTACACTTTTGGGATTGATGTGCATTTGTTTTGTTTATTGTCAAGACAAAAATGTCCAGCAAAAAAAAAGGCCTAACCTATGAGGTCAGGACCAACAAAACATCATATCTTCTATACATCATCTCCATCAGGTCAAAATGTCATACCCAAAGGGGTAACTTTACAGGAAAAGGAAAAACATTCTTAACTTTTAGTGGGTCAAAGTAGGATTCTCACTTCTCACTGGTCACTAGCAGCTCGACATTGAGTCACAACAGAGATCCAACAGTATCCTAGTTAATCTTACAACACACTCATAGGGATAAGTAAAAATTTCAGAGCCAATTTCTATGCAGAACATTTCTAACAGAACAAAGAACATTTGCAATCATCTCCAGACCTCAACATCATTGAAAGTGTTTGAGAAGACTTGTATTGTGAGAAGCAGAAAATGCAACCAACTTCTAAGACTGAACTTTGGATGTGTGGGGATATATTCCTGCAGATTTCTTTGAAAAACTAAAAGCAACTCTCCTGAAAAGAATGGGAGTAATAAAGACAAAATGTGGACACAAAAGATCCTGAAAAAAAAATAGTTGTTGATGCTTCTGTGTAATTTTCTGTTATCTGTTAAATGTTTTCTGTTTTCTATCTATTCTTTTTAAACGTCAGAGATCACCCTTTGAATATTTAATTTCCATTCAAATTGGCATTAATTAATTTTGAATGGAAACTGAATAATTGAAGAGACGTCTCTGATTTTTGCATCTTACTGTATATGGGACATATTATGATTATACATGTGTATGACTCCACATACTGGAAAAGTAAAAACAAACTGGTGTGGGCCTGTGTGTCTTTGTGTGTGTGCCGAGTGAATCTAGAAGACCCTTTAAAATCCATTTTCTCTTTGGTTAATCCTGCTAAAAGAGGCAGGCTTTGATCAGCGTTAAATGTCAATACTGAGTGAGTAATCACTGTGGATTAAAAGAACACAATGTCCCAGAAGATTCGCTCAGCGCCTCACACCTCTCTGCTGCTCCACTTTTACTGAGGAAATGCTTTTAGAGTTAAAGATGCAAACATCAAACCTGGCCAGCACGGAATGACCACTGCTGATAACATATACATGCATTTCCACTTCTTCCAATGACTTTTGTTTCATGCCATAGATATTTTTTTCAAAAGACAGCTTTTTTTGTTCTGGACTTCACCACATTTCCTCAAATGAAACACTTTACATTTGCATTAATTTGTCAGCACAATGTTTTTGTATTATTTAATCAACGAATATGTGTAGAAACATGATGTTTTCCCTTCATGGCATCTAATTTGTTAACAGCTTCAGCATACCTACACCAAAAACCAAAAGGAAACTCAAAGAAAGAAAATTATGGGCAGAGCTGAATGTAAACTTCATGAAAACAAACACAGAAGTGTCTCAGCTCAAAAACCTACTGATAGATTTATTTAACAGACTAATCATTTTCATTTCTTTGCAAGAAGCTGGTCACCATCAATTATATTATTATAGTACAGATGTATGCAAAGTTTTGAACACCAGTGGTGAATTTACATGTTTTATTAATTTAAAGGAAACACATCCTCTGTAGGGAGCTCACTTAAATATGGCATTTTCTGTAAATCCTAGTGCACAATTAAACTTTTTTGTCAAAGAAAATATATGAAAAGAAAAATTAAACTAAAACATAAAATACAAAATGTACCATAACTTTTGCGCAGGCCACATTTTATGTTTTATTTTTTCCTCAATATATTAAATTCAACAAATAAACAAGTAAAACAGTAATTGTCCATTAAAAAGTGTGTTCTCTGTAGTGTGTTAACTTATTTTCACATCAAATCAACAAAATGTAATTTGATGCAGGTTGCCTAAACTTTTGCATATGACTATATTATCATATATCATATTGAGCAATCTACTGATTTAATTAAGCAATCAGAGTTTTAAAAAAAAAGGCACATCAATAAAAAGGGACCTAAGTCAACAACAGCAAAGCATGCACAGTCAAAGATTCCAGAATGCTTAGCTGGAACAAGATTTCATTTAAGAATTATAAAAACAATGGATCACAAAATGAACTATCCATTTTAAACCTAAAATTTCTTAAGAAGTACTACTACAACACATTATGCGCATAGCATGTGCTTTTCTAGCACCAGTGCTACCTGCTCAAAAAGTTTAGGCACAGTCCTGATTATCTCTTCATGTAATTTCCCAACTATCTTGTTGAGAAGATAATTATGATTGATTATATTACAGTCGAGTAATCAGGTTTAACTGAGCAATCGGGACAGCTCTAGTGTACAGTACAGAACAGACAGTCATGGAAACAAAAGAAGTCAGCTTAAAGAAGCTTGAGACTGAAGGGAGCTCAAGTTGGGATGTTTTGGGCTGGAGGCCAGAACTTATGCAAAGGTGTAAAGAGCTTGAGGGCAAGAAAGGCATGATTTCCCAAGGCCTGGAGCCTGGAGGAGAGGAGGAGTGGGGGAGGCAGTGAGCACTAGAGTGAAAGTCTTTCAGGTTGTGCTGCTTAGAGCTCTTCTGAGGTTTAATATCCTATAAACGCTCGCTGATGAGCAAAATCCGGGGGAACGGGACACGAATCCCCTCTTGCCTTCGCTTCCCTGCCCAGTCAGACGTGACGCCACTTTTCCAACGTTAATTGCAACTTGATTAGTGGAGACGTGGGAAATAAAAAGAGGGGGGAAAAAAAACTAATCGCAACGAGGGAAGTGGGGCATGAGACGATTTCCAAAAGGATCGTGCCACGCTTTTTTCTGTCTTTTTTTTTCAGATGGTTGGCTTTTCTTTTTATGAGCATCGCGGGAACTCACCGAAACACTTGCTCTGATTGGTGGCCCGGTCCACGAATACTTTGGCAGAGATGACGTTGCCAAAGGGCAGAAACATCTGCATGAGCTCGGCGTCTCCGAACTCCTGCGGCAGGTGATAGATAAACAGGTTACAGCCCTCAGGCCCTGCAGAGACACACATACACAAAGATTCAAAAAGAAGACTTAGAACATGAATAGACACACACACACACAATTCAAATATATATTCAAATATATATCCACTTGAGGGCTAGCCAGTCTGAGGGAATTGGAATAGATGAGGACCACGCTGGCTGAAGTTTCTCTGCCTGTGTCTCAGTGGAAAAAAGTGAAAGTAGATATAAGAAAGTGAAGTCTGTATGCTTAACCCTTTGTCTCTTAATATTCAAGAGAGGGTGGTATTGGTGGCAATGGAATGTTTGTCTGTGTGCTTTGAGGATGTAGGCTTTTAATGCTGCTCATCAAATGCAGCCTTTGAAAATGTTTTCTTAAAATTATTTTAACACAGTTCATTAATCTAGATTAATCAACTGTGTTTCAGGGTTTAGACCACCTTTGGGCCAAAAGATTTCAAAAGGTTTCAATGCTTTTTAAAAGAAATTGGTCAAATCATTATTTAGGTGAAACCTGCTCTTCATTCCAAGAAAGTTGATGAACATGAAGCTGATGGTTGAAGCTAAACATACTTACAATATTAGCAATGCCATAGCTTAGTAACAGTTAAAATCAAACTTTTCAAAAGACAAGTAGTGAACAGACAAGTAGTGTAGTTCAGTCAGTTAGCCTTGCTTCACTGATATACTGCAGCACATTTTGTACAGACTTTGAAGTATGTGGATGGCGATATACCCATGCAGTAATTAGCAATGCACATAAATGAACATTCTTGGCCAAAACAGAAACCAAAATTCAGGACACACAGAGCTGAAATCAAAAACTGAAAATCAAGTTAACATAAAATAAACTAATTAAATTCAATACACTGTGGGCTACAGTATGGGCCACTAAATCCAAGGTTCCTGAGAACAGAGACAGTGGTCGCCAAAGGCAATGAATTCCATTATTGTTCAGTTATACTTTGCACTCTGGCACTGCCATTTGTGATGTTTTACATCCCTTCAAAACTAAGGTACAGACGATACAGTGCCATGGGTAACAGTGTCACTGTTTATCTGCTGCTGCTTAAACTGTTAGTACACAACTGTTAGTACAGTTTCTTAAGGAAGAAGGTGTTTTTAATCACTGTTCCTAATTTTCACCATCATTAAAATTACTGGTAAAGTCATAGACTTTAACATTTTGTTGTAGGTGTGTTTAATATTTATTGTGCATCCTTAAAAGTAACATAAAGCAGTTTTTAAAAATATAGTGAACATCACAAATAAAATGTCAAGACAAAAAAGGCTAAAAAAGAATATTTTAAAAGAATAGAAACCAAAAACTATGTTAAAAATGTAAAGGTAGCTGAGATTTGGAGGAAAAAAAACAGACACTTGATGGGCAGTGTTGGTCATCCTAATACTAAGACAGTGAAGGATGAAATATGCAGCTATGAGACTGGCCATTTCTGGCTTATGCATGCATATCATTTTCCCTGTTTCTGCAACTGCTACAAGTTGTTAGCATAAGAAAAAATGCTCACACTCCTTCTTAAAATACCGTTCATCTCTCTGAGGCCTTTTATGTGCTGAAAGTTAGCAAGATCTCCTTTTTAGCGCTCACCCCAAAAACTCTCACATGAAGCCTTTTTCTCACTTTTCCCTGCCACTTTTCCTCCCCTGCTAATTCAGACTCGAGAACATACAGATGGAACACAGCAATTATCACCTTTTATCAGGGGTGGGTTGGGCCACTCTTACCTTCGCGCTGTTGCTGGGGGATGATGGCTGGTTGCTGGGGAAACGCTTGGCTGATTGGCGCATAGGCGGCAGGATAGGCTGCTGTTGCGAGGAGACAGACGAGGGGAAAGCAAGCAGGGGAATTCGCATCAATATTCCCAGATTTGACACAACAACTTAAATCATTATTCTATTGTTCTCACTCTCCAGACACTGAATAAATAAATTGCATTATGGCTCGGAGCCGGCCGGCCTCATTTTCGCTGTGGTTCAGTGCCCAGCGAAAATAAACTGTTTAAAAGGGCTTTTATAGAAGCAGTCCTCCCATAGGCAGTGCCGAAGGAGACAGGGGCATTGTATTAAGTGCTTCTCTAGTAAATAAGTTTGCATCTAGACCACCATTCTGGACCTGATCCTACATTTGTAAAGCCTGTAGTTTTAGTCTGTTGACTTTAAATCAGGTCTGCAGAAGATTGTAGAGGATCAGGAAGAAAAAGTTGATAATCCCAGTCATGATTGCCTCCACTATAGCTGAATTTGACATCTCACAGCCATCTCTGAAACTGCATAATGTACACTCTGTTGTTGAGTTAGGGGGTTATATTAATCCTTTCATGCTGTTCTGAGACCAGTTCTGCCAGCTATTTTTTTTTTAATTCTGACAAGAATGGGAACTGTGTACTCTTGAGACCACTGAGGCTGTTAAATATGGACAGTATAATAGCCAAACAACTAAGCATTTTAACTATCGAGACAGTATATGATGGTCCAAAATGACTTGGAATATAATCTCATTATACTAATGTACATTACGAGTAACAAAGCCTTTTCTTTCTCCATTAAACTTTCTGTTTCGAAGATACAAGGTTTTTAACACTTTACTGTTTAGTTAACATTTAATAACACACTGCAGATACTTTGTAGACAGTTACCTTGCACTTAACTTGCATTAACTTGCTCTTTACTGCTGCTTGCCAGCTAGTTGTGTAATTTAAGGTTAAATTCAACTTTGGCTATCAGCCTGCTTCGCCAGCCTGGGTGTTGTGTTGAGCTTTATTTTACATTCAGATTTGCCTCCCTTGTTAGTTGTTGTCTTTGCTACAATATTAACCTTTACCTTATTTACTTAAATTACTGTGAGCTGAACTAATATGCTCACAGCAATAGGTGACAATGGTAAAAAATGGTCTAGTTATCCTGAAAGTAATTTAAAGAAAGGACATTCATAGCATCCTTTACAGCCAATTTCCCACATAAATTATGATAAACTGCAACTGATAAACTGATTTTTCCAAAACAAAGTCTATTGTGGTCCCTCCAAACTGGCGGTGCTCCATTTTTGCAATGGCTTGCAATGCCAGGACTAACAGGAATTTAAGGCAGAGAAGGGTACATCAGTGCATCCTCAGAATTTTGTCAAAAGAAAAGTACATTTCTCTGTGTTTCAAGGAGCCTCTGTGTTTATTTGAAATGGGATAGCGCTTAAGAAATATGCAGCCTGTATATTAAATATTCAGTGTATTAAGAGATACACACAACCTCACAAAAAGACACAGCCAGAACGTAAATGCAGTATGTAACTAACTATATAATTTAATGTGATTTAAAATGTATGGCAATAATAACAGACTTCTAGAAGTTACATTTTCACACACTGGCAAGGTGAATATAAACAGATTCTTGTAGTAATCCAGCTTGCCAAAAATAATTTTCAGATTGTTTTGTGAGCTGAATGCAGTAAGCTAGAGGGCTGATTTCCAGGAGCAGCGTCAGATACCCCTGCAAAACAATGTCTTATCAGGGTAAGATGGCAGAGCAAGTGTCACTCTGAACGGTGTTTGTAAGGAGACTACTGCTGCTAAACAATATGGAGAAAGATGGCGAGAAACTGGGACAGAAAGAGAGATAAAAGGAAGAGAGAAAGCACCTGCATAGTGTTGCACACCCGCGTATGCTTGCTGGAGAGGGTCGGTCACTGTTGGACTCTGTGCTGTAGAGAGAGAAAAGATTATAAAGTAGAGAATAAAAGAGAGGTTGCAACAAATAAGACAAAACAGGGGAAGGGATATATGACAATAGTGGCTCCAGGGAATGCCTCTAGCCTGGATAACTAAAAGCTTGGAAAACCTCTCTCAGCTGAAGTGGGGTCTTGTCCGTTTGAGGGAGGTAGACTTTAGACAGGGTAGGTAGTAGCTGCGTATTAGTCATTATAGCCTAATAAACGCACATAATAACATCTAAAATGACTGAAGCAAAGAGTTCTCCTTGTGGCTTATATAGTTATGGCCAGAAATATTGGCACCCTTGCAGTTTTTCTATAAAATAATTATAAAATGTGTGTGTGTGTGTGTGTGTGTGTATATATATATATATATATATATATATATATATATATATATATATATATATATATGTGTGTGTGTGTGTGTGTGTTATTGTAGTATTGCTAAACAGATCTCCTAAAAATATTAATTAAAAGCTTGAAAAGGGGACAAACAAAATGGAAAAACTAGAAACATTTCTGGCTAGCTGACTTGTTAGATTACCATTAGCAACAATTATCTGTTTATCTTCTTTTCACTTTGCTGACAAGTGCTAGAGGCTAAAACTGTTTATGGCTACATCTGTCACTAAGGCTACGTTTACACAGCAGGTAAAAGTGGACCAAATCCGATCTTTTTCCTCATATGTGACACAGATGTGTCATCTGTGTGGCAGTGTCAACAGCAAAAAACAAACTCAATTCCGATTTGAGACGCTTTCATATGTGGTACTGAAATCCGATACGTATCCGATCTGCGGCAATGCGACTCAGTCTGAACAGCCAGATCGGAATTCATGCGACTTTTACATCAATCCAACTGGACATTCGTCATACATTCGCGCTCCTGAGACTCATAAACATTTAGTCTGATGTCTCTGTACCAAAACATTAGGAGAGACTCATCAAACCGCTTCGTGATCGAAGAGGTTTGGGCCGAACCAGCCGAACGCGGCCGGAAGAGCCCGAGGCTGCAGCGTCCGAGAACAGTTTAAAGAATCCGAGGACGCGAACCAAAGAAGCGGCCGTGCCCTTTTCACAGCGAACTCGAACACACTGTGGGTGATGAGTCCAGCTGTCAGTAACTGGAACTTTATACTCGCTCCTGTGATGCTGGGAAGACGAAACTGAAAGCTGCAGGAGCGACTGGCGTTCACTGGCCGTCATGATTGTTTACCCTTGGATGAGCCGCCACGTGAAGTATTGTTCTTTTGCGCATGCGGATCGGTTTAGGAGCTGATCTGTTCAGACTGATGTCGCATACAGGTCACATTTAAAATATAATGTGAACAGCCAAACAAAAAAATCAGATTTGGTGAGAAAATCAGATTTGGGCCACTTTTACTTGCTGTGTAAACGTAGCCTACTGGTTAAAACTGCTGCCAAAATAAAGAAACAGGCTTAGAGTTTATATTCTAGTATCTGCTGAATCATGAATCTACCCTACTCTTTTCAGTTGTGAAATAATAAATAGCCCCTCACTCAATCAGTGCACAAAGTCAAATCTTGCAGCAGAGACTGAAAGCATCTTCAAGTGACAGGTTGGTTTAAGAGGAGTTTAATAAAATTACATGAAAGATGCTGTACTTGCTCCATTGCACAGATGACTATGGTGGGATGGATGCTGCCTGCCTCATAGTCGTGTGTTACCTGGGTAAGGGTGAATTCCGTTGGTGTAGATGGGTTCAGAGGCTGGCTGGCCGTTGCTCTGTGGAGGGAGGGCACTAAAACCATTCACCCCAATCGGAGCAGCGATGCTGGGCACTGCTGTGGCACTGATCCCTGGAGGTGTGCTGGTGCCTAAAAAACATGCAGATGATTTTCAGATCAAAGTTAAGTCCAGTTCATGTCGTATGTGCTGTTGGTAGTCACTCAGACTTTCAGTCTTCTAGTCTCGTGTAAATATTTCTAGTGGGAATTATTAGGGGAATTTTAGAACTCTTAGAAGTCTAGAAATATAATTTTGCTAATACTATATTTAATAATTAATTAAATATGTATGTAATAAATTACATTTATATTTGATTTATATTTTTAAGATGTTTGAGCACATTTTTTCCTGTTTGTTTTGAAGTTAAACAATACTAATGAAAAAGTAAGAACATAGGGGACTATATAAAACAGGACTATATGCACAACAATGATTCAAATCATAACAAAATACCTCCTGTTCAATTTAAAAACACAAATATTTAGTAGCTTGAAAGTTTAGAATCTGCAATTTAGACAGAATTTCTCAGATACAAACAATATAAAGCTTCATTATGCTTTTTTAACACTGACTTCTAAAGGTTACACTGTAAAATGTTACTCTGTTAAGTTATAGTAACTTACTGGCAGCAGAATTACCACATACTTAATGTAATAAAAAATTCACAGCACTTACACTGTAATGTTCAGTTACAGTTATGACATTTGACTGTATATTTAAATGCAGTTCAAAACTGTATACTTTCAAGAGCACAAATTGATGGCAATATATTACTGTAATATTACTACAATATCTTTTTTGAATATTTGTACATATTAAGAAATAAAAGAGTCAAAATAGCAGTTTTAAAATAGTTTACTGTTAAAGTTTCTGTTCAATCTTAAATACCCTTTAAAGATTCAAATACCCTAATAAAAGGATCATAAAAACTAGCTCCTCTAATAATACTCACAGTTAAACTTTGTGCTCAAGTATTTACTAAAGGATTCACTGAAAAATACCAGTATGAAAAAATAACAAAACAAAAACAAACAAACACACAAACTAAAATGGTCTAAGTCACTCGGTGTTTAAGCTAGAGATGTATAGTATTGAATTCAATGCAGGAAAGTGACTGTACACCACTGTTAGCTTAGTGCTAACATAACACAATCCCATAAAGACTGAATCCCATAGCTTACACAAATTAGCATTACCATAGCAGTGGTCAGAGATGGAAGGATCGATCAGCTATTTATCAGTATCGGCTGATTTTCAGCCCAGTTATGCGTTTGGCGACCAGCCGATATTTTTCTAACTTAACAGATCCTGAGAGCTGATCAGTGTTGTGAAACATATGAGCCATATTTTGCAAGTTAAGGCTTGCTGTAGCCCTGCATGAGGCCCTTGATCACAGGACCCCAGTTCCTCGTTCAAACGCTAGATGGAAATACAGACCTTTTGACATTTGACTGCAGGACTAAAGGTCTGTTCAGTCTCAATTTTTTACGGACAAAAAAATCACACGTCAAGTTTTGAAAACAAACACGCATACTAAAGCCATCTCTTACATCGAGTCTGACACTGACGGACTGCAACACTGTATGATTCTATTAATCGGAGCCTATTCTATTTTCTGTGCTGGATGGAGGCATTAAAATCAGGCTGACCAATCAGAGCTCCATTGTCATGGTTGCAGTGCATCAGGATGGCGGCAGAAGTCTTCTTTGTAGCAGAGCACAAAAGCTTATATGACAAGCAACACACTGACTACAAAAATGTGGAGGTTGAAGACAATATATGGAGGATGAGAGCTGAAAGGCTATGAATGATGACTGTGAATACAATCACTGTACGTAACCATAGCTCATTTGCTCCTTTTTAATGAGAGGAGCAACAAGCAGAGGCAGAGCCTCAAATTCCCCCCACTGACACATGAAAATGCCTTCAGAATCGCTCATTAAGCAGCTTTAATTCTGCATAACGAACGGTGATGGATCTTCCTGTGTTGTCATATTTTTTGTAAAATGGGATGTACCAAGTATGTGCACCACTTAGCTGCAGTGTTTAAAAGAAAACAAAAAGTTTTCAGAGTGCTTAGACAGAAAAAAAAACACTTCTGACTTGGTGTGAAGGTCCCACAACTTTGAAATGACATTCGATTTGTCGTCAGGAAAAAAATCATACTTGGTGTGAATGGGCCTTAACAGTCCAACCCCACCCTTGATCAGTATCGGCGATCTGCAATAGACGATCGGTATCAGCCCCAAAACACTGATCGGTTCTTCTCTAGCAGTAGTAATCAGTTACTTACAAAGACAATGATACTTACAAAGTGAAGGTTTCTACATTGATGTCTGCTATATAGTAGAGACCTGTGACACAAAGCAGGAATTGAACCACAGACTAGTTATTTTTGATGTTTTGCTGGGCTTGGTTCCTCCACAACTCTTTAGAATGAGTTAATTTATTTTAAATGTTTTACTATTATCATTTTATATTGTTAATATCTATGATTTAGTGCTCGTTCTAATTTATTTAGGCTATTCATTGATTTGTGGGATTTCTTCGGCCCGCTCCTGCCTACAGTGGGCTGGTTTCTCGCTGCTCCCGTGTGCAACACTGAAAATCAGTCCTGCGCTGCAAGATATTGTGCCGGGTCCCACAAGAATGCATGGGAGTGCAGACCTCTACTGTACAGTAGCATGTCATATATGACCATTAACATCCCATGTATTGTTTTATGTTGGTATAGGTTCTGCTAGGTAATCTAGATAGCTAACTGGCATTAGTTAGCTAGGCTAACAGTAACTAACTTGCCCTCCAGTTAAGTAAAAACGTTACATGTTAACTAGTTGTACAGTAAAGCTGATGATACTGTAGGTTTTGATGTGTTATTACAATAATTCTACAATAGCCATTCTGCAATGCATTTGAATAATGAAGTATAATCTGTCTGTACTGTAAATGTTTTCGCAGAATTCAACACTGGTTGCTGTGCAAAACTGTAAAACATTTAAAATATCATACTGGCTTGAACACAAGCACATCACTGTAGAATTTTTTACAGCATAGAGCAGCTATGAGGATGCATCGCTGATTTCTTAGTTAACTGAAAATCCAATAAAGATGGAAGGATGTTACAGGTAGCCTACAGTTAGATAGGTATACAGTGAAAAGCATAACAGAGCAGCATTCAGGAGGGATGATTCACGCTGGCCCACTAATGCTGAGTGTCATCTGATTAGACACAGGGACTTACGCTAGAGCGTTTCTAAGTATTTTCCCCAGCCAATGGTCACATCTAATCTCAGGATTGTCACCTTGGTTTTGGCTTCTTTTTTTCCCCTCTTCCAGCTGCGAAGGGCATTTAAGTCATGCAGGATTAAATTTGATGGGTATAACCTTAGTGAGTGTAGGCTTTATGGATTACAAATGCAGGAGAGCCAGCTGTGTCAGTGTGTTGGGAGGAGGTGTTAAAAAGAGAAGCACACTTTATTTAATTCATTTTTCCCTACCCTGAATGTCAGCTTACTTATCATTGTTGAGGCGTCAAAGCCCCTCATCGCAGCAGAGAGAGGGGTCAAGCTCAGGTCCAGGATTATCTTCCACAAATCTTTACTCCAGCTTTGTTTTGTCAGACTCTTCATCCAAAGGCATCAGATTGGCCACATGCCTGGCACAAATGTAAACAGCAAAGAACCTCACACTGTTCAACTACAGGGAGTGGTCTCAGCACCCCACTTAAGCCTTTTTTCCACACTCTAACCCTGCTGCCTCTCTATACTGCCAGTAGTCTCTCTGAAAACAATGCTCTAAGGTTTTCAACCTAATCTCTATTTGCCACATCCGTAGCACATGGTAACAATTCACAAAATGCATTATTCAGTTCAATACAATACAGCAGTGTCTTGATTTTACAATTTCAGCTCGTTAAAATTACGGTAACGCTTTATTTGGATGGTCCACTGTAGATGTTTTGTAAATGCTCGGTATATCTTTAAGTAACATTCAACTAAATATCCAATAAATGCTACTGAACGTGAAATTGAGTGTTATTTGGATGGTCCACAGTAGAAGCTCTGTAAATGCTCTTTCTGTCTTTAAGTAAAATTCAACTAAATTTTCATTCAAGCTCAGTATGAAAGATGTTATTAAATCTATTCCTAACCCTAAACCTAATGCCAACCCTAACCTCAAGGCAGGAAAGTTTGTTAACGATTAGTATCTGTATCTGTACAGTATCTGTATCTGTGTAGTATCTGTAAAATATCTGTAGAGCATCTATAGGAGACCATCCATATAGAGTGTGACCGAAATTACAATATAGAGCTCCAATCAAATGCTCTAACCACAAGCTAATATGTTAGCCCTAATCTTACTCACTAGCCATAGGGTAACATGCTAGTCATAATACAATCTTATGATATGATACAATATAATTCAGTGTGATACAGTTTGATACACTGTATTATGTTGTGTTGTATCAACCAGCATGACATTTCTAATATTCTTTGTAGAATTTATTTTTATTTTTTTTAATTTTTACCCGATTTTCTCCCCAATTTAGTCGTCTCCAATTCCACCCGCTAGTTAGGACTCCCCCAATCACACGATGCTATCAACGCTAGGAGGGTGAAGGCTAACACAGGCTTCCTCCGAGACCTGTGAAGCCAACCACCGCTTCTTTTCGAGCTGCCGCTCACGCAACGTCACTGGACAGCCGAACGCGCTCGGAGGAAAGCGCCAACCGCCAGATCTGTTACGTCAGCTAACAGACGCCTGCGCTGACTAGCATCGCGCTGAGTGATGGGGGGAGAAGGAGGGGCCATCCTACCCACCCAGAGAGAGCGAGGCCAATTGTGCTCTCTTGGACTCCCGGCTACGGATGGCTGTAGCATCACGGGATCGAACTCGCGATCTCTTGTAGAATATTTTTAAATTAACACATAAATCTAAATAATTTCTGAGATGGGACTAGTCTTCCAGAGGGAAGAATCTGTGGTAATACATTATAAATGTAGTGGTGTGGGCAGAATTTTCCTCCTTCCTAATTACTAAGGGAAAGCGAAAGTAACCAGAACTATTTTTTTACAGTGTTGCTTGAGTGTTTTAAAGTTAGATACAAGTTGGATCAAACTTGATAAGAACAGCTTTCGTAAGACGTTCTCATGTTTCACATTGAGACTTGCACTGATACAATATAATAGTTATATTTTCAGATTTGCATTATAGAATCATATATCTTAAACCTTTATTGATGTGAAAAACTGCCCAATCGTTTTGATTGTAAGTGAATTTTGAGTGGACATGTTTTCAGTACAGGGAAATACATTGAAATGATTGTCTATGGAAATTTGCCATATGCTACAGATAAGGCAGGTAGAGATCAGGCTGAAAAACACTGGAGTATTCTTTCAGTGCCGTGAGGAGCTGTTTGATGAGGTCATACATGGTCTTCAACAGGTGGTTTATGAAGCTCATGCTGCTAAAGTACATGCCTAAGTGGCACATAATAACCCACAGTGCCTCACTTGCTGCAGCTGTGACAGAGAGCGTAATGGTAGCGTTCACCCTGAGGGGCCTTTAAATGGGCAGTAAACCCATGTGAGAAAGTGCTGTGTGATAGTCCTCCCACCTGAAGAGGGCGTCATAGGGGCAGCCACCAGGCCGTTGACGTTGAAAGCTGCCATTTGCTGCATCTGGGCTGCCGCGATGGCTGCCATGGGGTTGAGATATGAGCCCTGTGTGGCGGCCATAAGAGCGGCCTGCTGCTGCATCATCTGCTACAGAGGGAGAGCAAGACAGGGAGAGAGAAAATAGAGGAAATAACAGGGAGATAATGAGTCATTTGTGGGAAGAAGTAAGGTGAGATCACAGTGGAAGTGAGTGATAGAGATGTCTCTAAAGAAAAAAAACAAAAAACAAGGGGCCACTGAACAGCCCTGTTTATATTCCTGCAGTTTTCCTTTTGACCTGTGCTGGCCTTGCAAATAGCTACTGTGGGTCTGCTTTTATGTGTTGCATAACATATTGCTTTTGCACTGTGCATTGTTGTTCATGTTGTCTACTGTTTGCACTGAGTTACCAGTTTATTAGGTTCCTTACCTTATACTTAAAACTCATTGGCAATTTTATCAAGTATACATATCATACACAGTCATATGCAAAAGTTTGAACACCCCTACTCAAATGTTTTGTTAATTTTCTAAGCGAAAACAAGTTAATACATGGTCTGAGAGGAGAAACATAAATATCAGTTTTCTGATTGAGTTTTCTGGAAATGTTAGTCCACAATTTCTATTTATTTGATTTTAACATATTGGAAACATGAAATATAAAATGTGCCATAACTTTTGAAACAGGCTGCACTTTAGGTTTTTTTTTTATTTAAAATGTTAAGTTCAGCAAGTTAACAATATTATGCATTAAAACATTCATTTTTGTAGAGTTCACATAGAAAATTCACGATTTGATCAGGGTACCTAAACCTTTGCAGAGCTGCTGTGCCTGATACACACATTCTGTTACTACACTGTTAGAAATAAAGGTACCGTGCAGGTACATTTCCATTCATCAAGGTACAAACAATGTAAATGTACCCACAATGGTATAACAGTGGTTCTAAGGTCTGATTGTGCACCTTAAACAAGTTTTTCCAGGTGAAAAGTACATATTTGTACCTTTTCATAACCTAATGTTTTAAAACAGACCAATAAAATAAAAAGCCTGGAGACGAGACGGGGTGTGTGGAGTCAATACTACAAGAAAATATAATTTCAATGGATTATGGTTCAATTATGTTCCCTGACTAAAGGTACTGAGATGTACCCTTGAGGGTCCCGCCCCAGTGATAAGAGGGGTACTGCCTCAGTGACAGTTTTGTACCTTTTTTTTCTGAGAGTGAACCACTACCATGTTTTAGCTGCAATGCTGAGAACAGTCTATCACCCAAATAAGAAGCTCCCTGGACAAAAAATTAGTCACATGCATCATTTCTTCTCTAATACGTGGTTATGTTTCTCCTTGCCTTAATGACAGGCATGATGGAACACTGCGACACTTTTACTGACCAGCAAAATCACCCGTCCTTAATAACAAATTTCAATTTGGAGTAACAAGTGGCATGCCAAAATAGGCACATAAGAACTGTAGCTGAAACTAGCTCCCAGTTCGTGGAAGAGTGGGCTAATATGGACAGGAGCTTTTAAACCCTTAAAAGACTGGTGTAATCCCTACCTGACAGGATTGAGGCTGTTATTAAGGCAAGAGGAAGCGTCACCTAGTTTTAGAAAAGAAATGATGCATGCAACTAATTATTTTGTCCAGTGAGCTTATCCTAAATGGCTTCATAATGGTCCCTTTCTATTGATGGCAGAGGTGGAGCCAGCAGGGGGGCAGGGGGTAGTCACCCCAGGCCCTGCCCTTCAATGTGGCCCACAGGTGTGCCACAATAAGCAATAAGGAAACCATGCAGTCAAGTGAAGAACATGAAAGGGATGAAGAGGACATGATGATGAATGCCAGTGATCACTTGTCAATGCTAACTAATACTGTAACCAGCTTAGCAGTAAAAAAGGAATATTTTATTATTATATTTTTATTATTATTATTATTATTATTATTATTTTATTATTATACTCAGTGGTTCTCAAACTGGGGGCCATAGTCCTCTGGGGGTCCGCAGTTGTATTTCTATGCCCATCAATTGCAATTCATGGCCGTACTGCTCCAGCTTAACAATTCGAGAACGAAGGAGGGGGTGGTGGGTACAGTTACTGTCTTCAAAGGGGGTCTTAGACTAAAAAAGAGAACTGCTGGGTTATGGCATGGCTCCATCACTGATGGATGAGGTAGAGAGCGGATGATGAATTGTGCAGCAACAGATGGGCTACAGTCAGTAACTGTAAACCTACATATTGCCAGATGGTGTAGGTAGAGGGTAGATGTATATCTTAGCTTACAGTGCTGATTAGCTTACAGTGGGTCAATGAATGTTAACGTTGCTTGTGTCCAATGTGTGTCTGTAAACGTTTGAGTGTGTAGATAGGTGACAGGAAACGGATTAAAGGATCAGGTAAAGTTCAGGTAGCAACATTCTGACTGTTTGAGGACATATTACTTACAGCGTGTGTGTAAGCTCCATAGGCCCCAAACTGGATGGTCATGGGGCTGAAGATGCCGAGCTGGCCGGCCATCTGGTGCATCCTGCGCAGCGTCCGCTCCTTATCTGTATCGGCAAATTTCACCACCAGGCTGGAGGATGCCCCCTGGAGACACAAGCAGGAAGAGCAAAACAGGCCAGGATGTTACACAGATATAGGAATGCACTCCCTCTTTTAATATTGCTTAGACTTGGAACAATCTAAATCAGATGTTCATGTTATTAATCCTAAAATTTAGGATTGAATGTTTATTGCATTAATTTGCATATATTTATGTTGATAATCAATACATTTCTTAAACAATTTTCTCTAAAAACAAAGGTTTAGCCACAGTAGGATATTGTAATAAATGAACGAAAGAAAGATTGAACAAACAAATGAATTAAATTAACTCACAAATACATGTTCAAAGAAATGTCTTGGAGTTCTAGGAGTTAATAATGTCATCATTCATTCAAATTTAGCAGATGTTGTATGGTTGTCATGCTGATTTGTAGTATACGTTAGGAATGGATGATACAATAAAATATCAAAATACTTTAGGAAATTTTTACAACACATGATATATTTCTCTATACTTTGTTTTCATGTGAAGGTTCATAAGTTGAAACAGCCAAAAAAGAACCAGTAATGGCACTTTGAAAAAATACTATAAAGAACAATGAGGACAATAATTTTATTCAACAATTTCTGTTCTGTGCAGAACCAAAATCCATTTAAACAGTATTAAACAAGACTAATTGTGCTCTCTTTATAATGAAACAGTTTGTATTCTTTAATTATGATATCCACAATATTTGTGATGTAATTTATCACAAAATGATAAAAATATTGTCATAATGCCCATTCCAAGTACATGTTGCTGTTTGCTGGTAGCTGTGGCACACAGGTCAGCTACAGGCCAGTGGATTTTCTTATAGTGCTCTTAAGAGAAATGTCCACATGAAAGCACAGCTCTGAACTGATTCTTTTAATTGGGCCCTGGGGTTGCCATAAGGAAAAATGATGGGTGCTGGCATGGAGATGATGAGGTGTATGAGTGATGGCTATCTGTGCAGGCTTCAGGTTGCTGCAGAATGAACTGCAAAGGCCAGGTACCCCACAGAGAGCTGCCTTACTGACGCCTCAGCGGATACAGCACCCTAATTACAGCTACCAAACGCCCCGTCACACAGACAGGGCAGCTATCGACTACCGCTGGAGCCTTATGGCAGATATAGTGCCCTATTGATGACAACGCTGCTCAATTTGCATCCAATTAATTTATTTGAGGGACAGAGAACAGAGACAGTTTCTCATGTGATGTCTAGAGAGGCTTGAAAGGCTGACACACAATGTTAAGGGGACTTTTCCCTCAGTGCTCCTATTTAATTACAGGAGCAGAACACTGGAGAAGAGACAGAGGAGCCAAACACATACACACATACACAGACATTCAAAGGGCAGTGAGGGACATGATTAGAGAGAGAAAGAGAGATGGGGGGGTGTAAGAGAGAAAGGGACAGAAAAGAAGGAGAGAGAGAAGAAGAAGGAAAGAAAGAAAGAAAGAAAGAAAGAAAAAAAAAGAAAGAAAAGTGAAAAAAGAGTGAAGGAGGGAGAGAGAGACAGAGAGAAAGGATGAGAATGAGAGTCCGAGACAAACAGATAGAAAGAAGAAAGAAGACAGAGAGCAAGAGAGAAATAGAGAGGAAAAGAGAGAGAGAAAGAGTGAGGGTGAGAAAAAAAGAGAAGAAAAAGATAGTGAAAAGCAGAAATGGAGCAAAAAAAATAAGAAAGGAGAAAATATGTGAAAGAGAGAGAGAGGGGATGAGGATGAGAGTCAGAGAGAAAGAAAGAGAGAAAGAAGAAGAGAGTGCAAGGGAGAAATAGAGAAAGAAAGAAAGAAAGAGTGATGGAGGGAGAGGGAGAGACAGAGAGAAGGGTGAGGGTGAGAAAGAGAGAGAGAGCAAATGGTAGAAAAAGAGAAAGGGACAAATAGAGCAAGAAAGAAAGAACAAAAGTGAGAAATAGAGATATAGGATGAGAGTAGAAGAGAGAGAGAGAGAGAGAGAGAGAGAGAGAATAAGAGGATAGAGAGAGCAAGAAAGAAAGAATGAAAGTAAGAAAGATATGGAGGGAAAAAAACAGAAATGGTGAGGGTGAGAAAGCAAAGAGAAGAAAAGATAGATAAAATAAAAAATAGAGCAAAAAAGAAGACAAATGAGAAAAAGTGTGAGAACAGAGAGAGGTTGAGGATGAGAGTCAGAGAAAAAGAGAGAGGGAAGAAGAGAGGAAGAAAGAAAGAAAGAAAGAAAGAGATGGAGAGAGACAAAGGGCGAGGCTGTAAGAGAGAGAGCAAGAAGAAAAAGGTAGACAGAAAGAGAGAAATAGAGAACAATGCGAATCGCCTTTATTTTTTAATGCTATCAAAGTGATGAATTCATAAGCTTTACTGGGCTAAATCTTTACAAGAAAAGTATAAAGTGAGTTTGAGCTTGATTTTTATCGCCACTTTTCTGCATCACATCTTAGCTGTGCCATGTACTCTCTGTGGCAGTGCAGTGCTTCTCATCCAGTTTGCAGTGCCCTTTAACACTTCAATCTGCTTAGTAACTGTTGCTGTCCACCATTACTTTGTCAATTTTTCAGTATTTCAGCATTTGACCTTCATATAACTATACAGAGTTCAGGTGTTTCAGCCACACCCATTGCTAACAGATAAAATTAAGCACATAGCCTTGCAGTCTCAATAGACAAACACTGGCAGTAGAATGGGTCGTACTGATAAGCTCAGTGAATTTAAACATGGCACTGTCATAGGATGCCACCTCTGCCACAAGTCAGTTTGTGAAATTTCTGCCCTGCTAGATCTGCCCCTGTCAACTGTAAGTGCTATTATTGTGAAGTGGAAGCACATAGGAGTAACAACAGCTTAGCCACGTAGTGGTAGACCACGCAAACTCCAAATGCTCCAAAATCTTGTAGAAAGTTTCCCATAAGAGTGGAAGCTGTTATAGCTGCAAAGGGGTCCAACTCCATATCACTGCCTTTGGATTTAGAATGAGATGTCATAAAAGCTCATGTGGGTGTAAAGTGTAGGTGTCCCAATAATTTTTGTCCATATAGTGTATTTTAAATTGAAATCTTCAGATGACATCTGATATTCCGACACAGCAAAGTGTTTTGCTTTCGACCCATTTCCAAAGCCAAAAATGAAGAAAAAGAATGGATTTTGATTTGTCTGTGATCAAAAGTGAACCATTTCATTCATAGTTTCAAGTTTGCACCCTTGATGTGTGATTTAGGTTGTTCATAATGTATTTGACACTGCTGCTATTGTGCTTTTGTTAACAGCTTGTGCTCACTTTCATTTCATTTTTTAAAGAACATTACTTTTGTTCATCTGAACTTTGCTTCAGTATGATTAGGACTGCCATGATTAAACAATTAAACTCCATTAAGAATATAATTGATAAGGGCTTTTGAGTGGGGCAACTGTCTTTGCCGTCTTAGCCCTATATTCAAGAGACTGAAAGCCCTGATGATGCCACAGCCATCCTGAAGTCCAAGAGGGCATATTAGGCCTTGTTCTCTTTTGGTGGGTAGGCTGGTCCTCCCTCTCCACTCATCATGCAGCATGATGCTAGCCAACAGAATGGTGAGTTGGTGTTCTCCTCAAAACGCGTCAAACTGTTCAGTGACATTGCATTAGACACAGATGTGATAGTGTTTCGTGTGACACAGAGGAACGTGATAGTCTTCACCCTCCCAGCCTGTCAGCACTGTTTGATAGGTGGAGACCTAACTAGTGGGTAGGAAATGGCAATGTCAAAATTAGGGGGGAAAATAGAGTTTAAAAAAAAAACAAAACAAAGAAAAGAAAACAGTATATTTAAAATGTACCTTTTTGATGAATCAGCAGTATCTAATAATATACAATATTATTTAATAATAATTTGGTATGCATGCAAACCACATCTTGTTAAACACACCCATAGACATTTTGTGCCACATAATGTTTTTACATTTATATGAACATATGTCTTATGCTAGTTTTGGCACCTCTTGTCAAAATACTTTTTGTTGATTTTCTAAGTAACTTAACACATTCTCTACAGAGAACACATTTCTGCACATTTATTGTACAATTATTGTTTATATTTTGATTTTCACATCCTCTCTCTTCTTCCTTCTCTCTCTTTTTCTCTGACTCTCATCCTCAACCTCTACTGTGGCCTGTGCAAAAGTTATTTTTTATATATTTTATATGTTAAAATCAGCAAAAAAAGCCATATTTAAGTGTTTTTTTTCATCTTTAAACTGCCAGGGATGCATAGTACACTTTTAATTTTTGACCTTTTTTCACTGTGATTCACTATAGAAATAATCGGTAGGTTTCCCAATTACTAATATAATCAATCTCACCAATTTTTATTTATATATTTATTTTACTGGAATAAACCCAGAAAAATTACTTGTTACAACATGGCTGAAAAAATGTGTGTCATGTGTGATCAGTCATGAGGTGATCAGTCTCTGGATTCCAGAATCACAGAGACTGAGATGTCTGCAGTCCTGCAGTTTGTGGCTCTGGGGCTGCTTGGTTAAAGCCGCTGGGCATTCAGTCCAGACTCAGCTGTGAGGCGACTCTGCAGCAGCTGCAGGTGAACTTCTGCAGGGTGTTACAGGTTTCATATCGCATCCCGTCACACACACGCACAAGCACGCCGGCCGGCCCGCAGGGACCCATCTGCCTCGCCTCCTGGGACGCCGTTTCAATTAGTCGAATCGATTCCGCACAGCACTGGAGTCAGAGCAGGCGCTATTTTGTCCTTTCTAATTTCATTTCGTCCCACCTCCTGACCTTTCACTGTTCTTTCCACAACTTTCCCCCACCGGTGGAGCGGCCAGACTGTCGGATTTAATGAGGTCGGCGCTTAGCAAACATCTCTCCCTCTAGCACTAACCACTCTCTCCTCCAGTCTCTCTCTCTCTCTCTCTCTGTCTCTCTCTTTGTCTTATGTTTCTGGTAATACTCTCTGTCATTCTTTCTCTCTCTCTTCTGCTACTTCTCTCTCTTCACTACTACTTCTTTTCTCTCTCTCTTTCTTTCTCTCTTTTTCTTT